TGTCTTTGGAGCACTGTGAAAGGAACTACAACCTGATCTTTCGTTTCCTTAAAAGCCACAGCATGCTGTTTGTGCAAAATCACTTATAGTACGCAATCGATTTGCGAAATTAAATTGCAGACCATATGCCAGTTTTCCTGAAGGGGGGGGGGGGGGGGGGGGGGGGGGTAGAAAAGAGGGCATGTGCAAGCGGGAGGGGGAGCCTCAGTGCTTGAGAGCGATGAGGAGAATGGTCCCGGAGGAGGAAGGGCGGACCGGCAGTGGACCCGTCGCGGTGGTGCACGTGAGATGCAAGGTGTAAGGATGGGGTGTGTGGGGCGCGACGGCGGTCCAACGGGGGGAGCGAGTGTATGTGCACTGCTGTACTGCTGCGGTCGCCCAGTCATCAAGTTGGGGTGTGCGGTATTTCTACGCGCTAGACAGGCACACTACCCAATCACCGACGCCAAGTTGTTGCCGTTTTTTGTCTCTCTGGATGCAGTCACAAGACTATGATCCACGCCGCCACGTTGCCTCGAGCATCGCCCGTTATCCCTTTCCCGCGCCATCACTGTAAAGTGCCGTCGAGCGAACAACGCTACAACTCCCACTTCATCTCTCGCAGACCACGTCTTGTTCTCACCCCTCCATCCCTCTCGTTCTCTTCACACGTGTCCTCCAAAACCACAACAATGACGTCCATTCCCCCCATCCTTGGCCCACACGCACCCTTATTGCCTTCCCTTGCCTTCGCCGCAGTACCGGACGGTAAACTAAACTACAGCATCCACTGCCACGCCAAAAAACCTCACTCCCCGCACCCCACACCTCTGGGGAGCGCTTCCGTCAGCAACATCCATTGGCATTACCATGTGCGTTAACATCCCTCCTACCTGTGGCACGGTGCCTCTTCGTCACCCCCAACGCCCTGCCCACTGCTCCACCACATCGAGGACCTGTCCGCATCCAGAGTGCACTCCATCTCTCCCTCCCACAAGGTTTCCACTCTACCAAATCAAAACCTCCCGTGCTCCGGTTCTCATACAGCTTGGCCCCATCTCGACCATTCGACCCCGCCTATTCTCTTTTGCACGCTGTTATTTTCCACACGTCTATTTCTGTACACCTGTACACATCCAACCCCCTTTGTCTCCCCCCCCTTTGGACGACGTGTGCATTCTTTTTGGTTGCTTTTCTGGAGTGAGTTCCACACTTAGGAAAATTCCCAACCTCCTCTAAAGAGAGAGGTACCTCCGCAAGGGTTCGAAGCAACAGGCCAGAGAGCTCTCTACGGCGAACAGCATGTCGATTCTCATCCTTTCCGCTCTTGAGCATACTGTAGTCTGCCATTGGCGACCCCTTGCACCGGCGGTGAACAGCTGAATGTCGGGGGGGCCTAATTCCTATCATCCCTCTCAGGGGGTTGGGTTGGTGCGACTGGCCTCCTACTCGCCGTGCGCTTCCGTGTTGCGATCCCTCGGACGATTCCTCGGTCGTACACCTGGGCTGTAGCCACTCCGGACGTAGTCATTTTTTTGTCTGACTGCCTTGCGGGGCTGTTGTACATTTTGCCGCAGTTACCTTTTCCTTC